ACAGCCGCTCACTGCGGCTGCTGGCCACTCACGCTGGCTGCTGGCTACACACTAGCCCATGGCAACCCACTGCAGCAGGGGCTGCAGCCTACGCCGTCGCCAGCGACTCACGGCAGCCCAGCTCCAGGTCGAGCTTTTGTTCAGCATCTTAGCTGTAGAGGGCAGTGTCACTGGCCCTCACATGTGGGATCCGAACCGGGGCCCTCTGGCGTCCCAAGCCAGCTCTTAACCAACGCGCCACTCGGCCGGCCCAAATATTATCAATTTTTTGATTTTTCACTTTTTTCCCTGTGTTGCCCCCAAGCATGGAATATTAAAAATGAATACATTTGTATACCTTTTCTCCTGTTAATCTGCCTGATGTCAGTTTATTTCATAGACCTAGCTATTGAACCTAGGAGGGTAGAGGGAAAGTCTTTCTTCCCCTACACAGTGAAGGAAGAGGAATGTAATTACTACATCAAAAAATGGAGGAGCTTGGGGGCCGCTGAGTGGCTCAGTTGGTTAGAGTGTGAGCTCTGAGCAACAGGGTTGCTGGTTTGATTTCCACGTGGGCCAGTGAGCTGCGCCCTCCGCAACTAGATTGAAGACAACAATTTGAGCTGAGCTGCTGCTGAGCTGCTGGTGGGCGGCCGGATGACTCAGTTGGTTAAAGCACGTGCTGTCAACAACAAGGTTGCTGGTTTGACTCCCACATGGGATGGTGGGCTGCGCCCCGCCACAACTAGCTTGAAAATGGCAACTGGACTTGGAGCTGAGCTGTGCCCTCCACAACTAAGTTTGAAGGACAACAACTTGACTTGGAGCTGATGGGTCCTGGGAAAAAAACACACTGTTCCCAATAAAGTTTAAAAAAAATGTAGGAGATTGCAAGTGAGTCAAAGAATGAGCGTGTCGTACATATAATATAATGAGGTTGTTTTCCCCACCTGCCACATTGTTGTTAAATCCATGGTCTGTCTGACAACCATGGATTCTCAGAATCATGGAACTATAGCAGCTTTTTCTCCAATCTGCTAACGTGCTTGGAATTTCCACCTTTAAACTCTAGGAAGTTCTGGTTTCAATAGGAATGTTTCTCAAGAAATATATTAACAGAATAATACACTGCAGTCTTTTTTGAAAATGAACACGAATTTCCTTATTAGATTAGCCAGTCCCAGAAAACAGGCCTCTGAGAGAATGAAAGCTGAAATCCTTTTTTATGGAGATGGGATGAAAAGAGGGTGAGGAGGCAGGATTATAGGCACCCCAAACTGGACTGAGGGAATTGAAGGGCAAATGAAGAGAAAAGGGTGTGCATCAAAGGCAAATTTTCACAATGGCCTGCACTATTCCAGCTAACAGGAACTAATTTATTCCTGTGAACACCCAGCTTACTGTTAAACCCAGCACTGCACACTAGTTGATTCCTAATAACACCCATTTCAGATCTTTTGTCATTGTTCATGTTTAGTCATTAATAGCAGTCTCCACAGAAAGAGACATGAAACCAAGAATTGAATATTTATATTCATGATGTAAAATAAAATTACTTTGCCAAGTGTTTCAGCCAAGTGTTGACAGAAAATTAAGCCAGAATTCTCAGGGGAATGAATTTTCTGACAAGTTTTCAATGTCAGCACCCCATGCGTTCAGGTAAAGTGGTATAAAAGGAGCTGTACTTGGCGTTAAACCAACTTCCTCCCTTCCAGTGGAGGGTCTCTGTTCCTGTTACTAGTGACTCATTGGGTTCCCTCAGTTCAGTTCCTTCCCTAAGGTGGGTCTTGGTTTCTCCATTCATCTCAGGTAATACCTGTAAATAATCTGAGGTCCCTAGATAAGAAGTAGCATTTTAGGAGACTTTGGAATTCCTATGATGATGAAATCTATGACAATATTATCCCAGTTCTCCTCATAGTTATAACCCACAAACAGCTTCTGCTGTCTCTCAGAACTAGCCCTGATAGCAGCCTTCAAAGTGCAAACATGACTCTTTAGTAATATCAATAAGCTCAGCCAAAGGTTATTCAAATTTGAAGCAGGATCTGAAGCCATCATGTAATAACTGAACTGTCACACTTACATAAGGGCTGTTTCAAAATATGTTTAAACATGGATCTTCCTTTTCAACAGAGCACAATGCTGGGAAAGGGGAACAGTTGTACAACGGACACAAAATGTTCGATTTTAGTTTGACCTAGATTGCCATGCCCTGAAATTCCAAACACTCTCAGAAATACACAGTGGCTATTCCTTGATTTCAAGTTTCATGAACTGTGGTTTGAGCCAAGCCAGAATTGGGTCCCCTTTCTAATAGCCTATCTGTCTCTCTTTAATCCGGCTTCTCCCGCCTCCCACTTTCTTGGGATGCCCATTTTCTTCATTATGTGGTATAACCGTACAGGCTCAGGCACAAGCCCACAGACTAATTCTAAGAGGTCATGCATGCTGGCTGTATGCAGTTCATGTATGCAAATGCTGTCACCATGGTGAAAATGGCACACATCTCAGGAAAGCTCCAAAACACTCCACACAACCAGATTTCCTCTTCCCTCTCATGACACACATTTTTCTTTCCTCCTATGTGTCTGCTAGGTGTTAATAAATATTCTTTCCTCTTTGCAGAGTTCTATTCATTTTAATAAGATCTGTTGCAGAACTTAAATTCCCTTATAAGGCTTTTGGGTACTCTAGATCTCTTTGGCTTCAATTCAATCCACAAATCTCCCCAAATTTTATATCTCCTTTCTCATAAGGAGCCTCTTCTACACTCTCCCTTCCTCGTCCACACTTTCCTTCTGATTCACCACTAAGAACATTCTTGTTGGTCTTGCCCATGTGTTAAGTATTAGAAAGGGCCAGAGCCCTGATTTAGAAGGTGGAAAGGACAGTAAAAACTAGGGAAGAACAGGACAAAGTATGCCTCCTTAGAGACACCATCACTCCAACAGGAGAATTACAGGTAATTGGGGTAGAGCAAAATTGAGGGCTACCAACTACTGCATCTGACTGCTATTACTTTGTCCCGAATCCTGGTAGGCAAGGTGGCATAGCACCTACCTGAGAACAGTTCAAAGTGGCAGATATGAGCCTGGTCTTTCAGGCTTGTTACTCCCGCTATTGCATTCCTAGCTCATCAAGTCAGGAAGCAGACGTCAACTAGGAAAAGGAGCAATGGAGGCTACAGAAGGAGGTGAGGGGCCACAGCCAGAGAGATGAAAGACAGCAGGTAAATTCTGTTTCAAAGGAGCACACACGGAGAGCAGTCTGAAGATCCGGGATGACCTCATCTTTTGTCATCTTAACGAGTCCGGCAAATTTCCTGAGGATGGAATCAAGGCCTGTCTGGCTTCCAAGCCCACATTCTGCTGCTGCCCAGGGTCCATGTTTGGCTAAGTGTCAAATGACCCTTGTGTTGTAAGGCTGGGGACCAGGATAAAAATGGGGGCCCTGAGACTCAATCTTTAGGATCCTTTCTGACAGTAATGCCTTACTAGTTAAGACTTAACAGTGTGGGCTTTGGGTAAGACAGGCCCAGTGTCAGTTGCGGCTCTACCCCTTACTGATTGCGTAGACTTTGGGCAAATGGCTTAAGCTTCTTAAACTTCAATTTCTAAAGCGGAAAAGTGGAGTTGTTGAGGTTTAAATGGCAGAATGTATTTCAAACACCTAGTCTAGAAATTGACATATAGTAAGGACTTGATAAATATGACGATGATGATGATGATGATGATATTACTAGCTTGACTATCCATTGTTTGAGTGTTGGCAGCTGAAAACATTTGTGAACAAGAAGACAGCAAATACCAGAAGATTTGATTGGAAAAAAATTCCAGCCATCAGTTTCAAATGACCAGCACCAGCTTTGGGACCTTTGCCATTACTGACTTTCTGCTCTAAGTCTCCCTTTGCCAAAAAAGCGCCACCCACCACCCAGCCCCACTCCCACTCTTTGCAGGTCCTTACTGGAGAAAGGAGCATTTTTTTCTAACTTGAAAAGTGAGAAACATGGCCTGACAAGTATACTTAAGTCTATAAGGGGACAATGGTACAGAATATTTCAATCTAGTTCTGGTTTAGCCATTCTAGGAAATGGGCCAACAGGGTGGTAAGGGCCTAATATCCCTCCCTCCACAACTCATGCACTTCCACTGCTTAGATGGCTCACACCTATTTCCACAGGACGCCCTTTGGATTAAGATAACGGGTTATCGCACTATTTAATAAGGGGTGGGGGAGAGTAAAAATCACCCCACTGGCACCTTGGGGTGATTATCAAGACATCTAAAAAGACTCCTAATAAGGTCTTAGGGGGATGTGGCAGGGACAGTAACGGACTAGAAGTGAAAGGCTACCTGAATGTAATGCCACCTGGGCACCTGGGATGCAGACACGGGCAAGGCGAAATCAATCAAGGGCGGGATAGGGTTGGTTGGTAGTTGTTCCGATTCCTAATTTTATCTAAGACCTGCCTGGTTCCTGCGAATTTTAAGGCTGCAGGGCCAGGAGGTGTGTCGCCTCAGACTTGCATCCCATCCGCCTGGGGTCCCGTCAGCCAGGGTCGCTGGCGGTAGGGAGCAAGTCTGTGTGTGACTGCTTCTTTTTCTCGAAATCCCCGCGGGTCCCCTATGAGTTCATCACGTGCACAGCCCAAGCGGTTCAAACCGGCCCGAGGCCTGAGGTCCCGGACGCCGGGGTGTTTTTTCGGGTTTTCTTTCTTTATTATTTCCCTTCTTGTTCTCCACAGTTGATGATTTTCTGCAGAAAAACGACTGAGAAAAAGAACCTATTTTATTCCCAGTTCCCATCACCGCGATTTCCACATGGATGTGACGTTGGGTTCAGCTTCCGAAATGCCCAGGTGACTCACGCGGGGACACCCCGGGGCGGGGCCCAGGAGTTTCTCGGGCGGGAGGGGCGTCGTCGTGCGCCCGGCCGGCTGGCTCGCGGCGCCGCTAGGAGACCGTCCCGCGGCATTGCAGCCGCGTCACGTGACGCTGGAAAGTCCCTTCGGAAATCCCCGGCGGTCCTCGCCGCCGCGGTAAAACAGAAAGGGAAAAAAGAGAACTGGCAGTCTGCAGGCTTCGCGGCGAGCCAAGTGCCGAGCGCTCAGAGCCCGCGGGGGCGGAGCGGCGAGAGAGAGAGAGAGAGGCCGCGGGAGAGCGGCGGCGGCGGCGGCGGGCGCGCTCCACACCCCCGGCCGGCCCAGCCAGCCTGCCAGCCAGCGAGTCCGGAGCCCCGGGCGTCCATGGGGCGCCGCCTCCGCCCGGCCCGGAGCCCCCAGACCACGGTCCGCGGCGTTTGCCTGCCCTGATCCGGTACTTGGGACTTAAGACAGAGAGGATCGGGCGGCCGGGAGAGGTAACCGCTGCGTCCCGCTGTCGTCTTTCGGGGGTTCCTCGGGGCGAGGGCTGCGGAAGCGCATTTGGCAGCGACTCGCGGGGCTGGACCCGCCGACCTGGCGTTGGCGTTGCAGCGGTCCTGGAGGGCAGTTGGTGCGCGTTGTATCGGTTTTGAAATGCCGGGCGTTGAGGTCGCCGCGCCAGATGTTAAGGTGACAACCCTGGATCTCTCCCGCCAACTAGTCCTTTAAGATTATGCAGAGAATTTAAACTGCAGCTGACTGGTGGAGAGTCGCCCCCGTGGCCGCTTGGGCCGGTGGTCGTTGGTGGTGTCTTTCTCGGGCCTTTTTTTTTTTTTGGCACCAGGAGCTGCGTGCTCACAGCCACGTAGACCTTGCAGAATGCTGTGGCTTCTTCTCAGACTGTGCAGAACCAGTGCAACGGCGGTGTGTCTCGGGCAACAAATCCCGGCGGGTGTCGGGGACAGGTCAGCTAACCTTTCCAGGAGCAGCTTGCAGACACGCCAAGGAGTTCTGTGCAGGGATTGGGTGGGGAGTCGGGGGACGAGATTCATAATTTACTGTTGCAGCTGTGTAAGAGGAGTGTGCATGCAGAAGTGAGTCGTTGGCTTGCCTTTTGGGGGCTCCAGTTTAGAGCGGTCTGCAGGCCCCTGCCCCAGCCCCTACCTCACAGAGAGTCTTTGTCAGCCCTGGTCGTCCCACATCCTGCCACCTGGCCTCTCAGGAAAGCAGTGGTATTAAGTAAGGAAGGAGCTCAGCTCTCTTTGAGACCGCTTTGTTTTCAGTTCTCCCTGCCTCTGATCTTTCCTTGGAAAGCGGGTCTGGTCAAGTGTATGAGGGCAGCATTTTGGGAGAACCAGTGTTCATTCAAGAGTCCTCTGGACCACAGGCTTAATGGCCCAGGTTATTGAGCAGCCAGTTACCGCTCCATTCTCATTATCTAAGGTGCTTCTTTCATTCTTGCAATTCTTTGTACCATTTTTTAATTTTTGGAGGGGCATTTCCAAAAATTCCATGAGGCATTTGTTGATAAAAAGTCAGTGAGGTAACAGAAACTTAAAAGAAATGTTGAGGGTAACCTTGTATGCCTTTGCCTGTAAGGACATCACAATCAGGTCAGACAAATTTATTTTTGAATCTTAAGTGTGGAGAAGTCCAAGTACTGGGTACTTGGACAGTGGGTTTTGATTTCTTTTAAGGAGGCAATTCTGCAGGCAGTGCAAGGCTAAACCAGTGAATGAGAGGAAACCGGCCTGTTGAATATTGACCTTGCATATGGTTTACAGCTCTCACTATTTGAAAGATCTTTATGTGCAGAAGAAAATAATAGAAGAATCAGAAAAGCAAAAAGGCTACACGTAGCTTATTTAAAATCTTCCTATTGCCCATCTTTTCCCACCTGGAACAGCAGGCATTGCAGCCACAGGTATGGTACTATGAGAATAGCAAGGGGCAGGTGTTGGAAGACCTGATTTCTAGGCAAAGCTGCGTGCCCGTGGATGGCGTGGGACCTGAATGGTTTGGGACCTGAGCAGGACCTGTGCTTTTGTTGCCTAAGCTGCAGACTAAGGTGGTTGGGTAACTTCAAGTTGGGGGAGTAAGAAAGGTTGTCTTGGATTTTTAGCCCCAGCGTCAAGCATGGCTTTCAGTAGGTGGCCAGACAGTGCTTGCTTAAGTGATGGATGGACAAATAAATGACATCATAAGAGAGACTTTTGCTATGCCACAAAGGGGAACTGTGTGTGATGTTTTTGTGCCTTCATTGTGTCTGTGGTCCTGCTATAATTTGGCCTAATTCTACCTGCAGAGAATGGTTGACATCAAACTAGAGTATCTGACCCAGAGAATGACTTCTCCAGGCCTCATGTGGCAATCACATTAGGACTCCTGACCGAAAACTACTACCAGAAAATTCCTCAGGAGCATTCTTGGGCTCATCTAGTTCAGCTCTCTCTGTGGAGCAGGCCACAAGAATCCAGACCACCTTATCAATGGTTTGAGAGCCAAGACCCACCCAGGGAGTGGCTTGCCTAATATCTGGGTTTCTTCTCTCATTTACTTTGGATTAACTTCTTTCTCAACTAGAGGCTTGCCCTGGCAAATAGCAGGATTGATGCAGGAGTGGGATTAACAATTGCTATGAAACTTCCTAGGGAATAGCTTCATGTTCTGAAACCGTCTTTGTCTTGGAAATTAGGATGTATGGTGAGGCACTCTATTAATGGCCAGTGAATGAGAGCTGGCTCTCCACGCAGCTCCACACTGCAAAGGTCCCATGTTCACATCATTCCACACTGTTGGCATGGGTTGTGGATGCTGGGTTTTGTTCCCTTCCGCTTTCATTTGTCCTGAGTGGCCCCCTCACTGAAGTTTCTTTCCTCGTCTGTTTCCAGACTTTCATTTCCTTCCACCAGTTGATTAAGTTTGAAGATTTCAAGGCAAAGAAAGACAGGGTGGGAAATACAGCTGAGTATTGGTACCTGGAGGACGATAATAACATTTAGCTGGCAGTTGCATTGAAGTAATTGAGCTCCAATGTCTGCTCTTGGAAGTGCAGAATTTATTATTCTGTTATTGTTACTTTTCCATTTCTTATTCTGATGTTGTAAAATTCAGGGGAGAGGTTAGAAAACTGCTGATTGTTTGCTCTTAAAATTGCACAGCATCTTGCTAGAAATAGGCTTTTGTGTTGGTTATAAAACATTCAGTTTTAACGCTTTATAAATATTATAATACATTTCTTAAATAAACTCTATAAATATTTCTTTCTGGGGCTAACGAGGAAACTCCAATTAGATGCCTAGGGGACAGCATAAAATTGCAGGATTTTTCACAAAATATTTACTGTCTTTCCAGTACAGGGTTATTCCCCTCCTCCTCAGTACCCACTCTCCGCCTTCCTTCTCTTGTTTAGACTAATCTTTAAGAGTGATGTAACTTAAAACAGTCCAGTGTGAGTTAATCTTTGGGGCCAGCTAGTATCCTGGGAGTAGAGGTGACTAAGATCTTTTGCCTACAGATTAGGGTAATGACAAGATCAAACACTGGGGTTTCCTGCAGGCAGGTATATAGGAGTAGTATCAAAGTCAAGCTAACGGCATGGGTTTTTTCCCTCCTCTTTAGGTATTGTGGAGCAGGATGGCTGAACTCCTTCCTCTGGCTTTGTATTTGAGCAATATGCGGAAAGCTGTGAAGATCAGAGAGAGGACTCCAGAAGATATTTTTAGACCTACCAATGGGATCATTTACCATTTTAAATCCATGCACCGATACACACTGGAAATGTTCAGAACTTGCCAGTTTTGTCCACAATTTCGGGAGATCATCCAAAAAGCCCTCATTGACCGAAACATCCAGGAATCTCTTGAAAACCAGAAGAAGCTCAACTGGTGCCGAGAAGTCAGGAAGCTTGTGGCCCTGAAAACAAATGGTAAGACAAGCTTTTGTCTTGGGGAGCAGGGTAGCTTCCACACTGCTGGGTCCCCATTCATTTAATTTTACTAGAACTAGCCCAGACTCAGATCTCTTGAGGCCATTGACACCTTAGTATAGAAACTGTATGGGGGCATGTGATGAAAGCAAGCTTGTTTTGTGAATATTCTGATTAAGGATATTTTTGAATTGTGTATGTTAGAGAGCAGAGCACATCTAGGCTTGGGGAATGCATTTCTAGACACCATGCTCTTGTTAGGTGACTTATGTATCTAATTCTTGTGACTGTTTAATCATCTGTAAAATACCCTTCCCTGGCCACTAATGGAAATACTAAAAGGCTTGTAAGTTCAAAAGGAAAGCATGGTGTGAAAACTGGTATTAACTATTGTTTCCCATTGTCATTAGAAGATATTTGTGACCGTGGCCTTGCGCTTCTTAAATTGATGGCATTTTAGGGGTTAACCAGTGAATGGCTGTTGAAGACAAGAGGGGCTCCTGTTGTCTACTCCTCCCTTATCTAGGTTTTGTTGTTTATGGTCCCATGATATGAACTAGCAAGATAGTTGAGATTTTTAGCACTGATTTTAGACCTCTACTTTGTTATTTTTAGGGATAGTGCTGATTTTCTTGCTGCTGTCTGTGCCTGTCTGCCCAATGGCCCATTACCACTAGTAGCTGTTTCCTGTTCTAAGCTTCACTGTTTTGTTTTTAAATTATTTCCTTTGAGCAAGAGTATGCACATCACAGAAACAGCCAAGCATACCATTTCATGGAGATACAAAATTCTGCTTTATAGATATAGCTAATTATGACAAGAAGCAAGTAAACTGTTTAAGATCAGTTGAATGCTTACAGCCTAGGTAAGGGCAGAAATCTCAGGTCCTTAGATCAGTGACAGTCCTGAACCATCCCCATTAAAATAATACATACATCCAAGTGCAGAAAATCCTGCCTGACAATGAGATGATAAAAACATTAACTTAGGTAACTTAATTGGTACAGCAACTTTGGCCATTTGTGCTTGGGTAACTTGGTGTGATTGAGGGACGTGTTTTTTTGCTTTGGGCCTGGGGGTGTCTTGTGCATCATCTCAACATCTTGCTTATATTTTTGAAACATAGATGCTTAGAAACGGGGCGGGGGGCGGGGGACAACTGCGGATAGCTAGTGTTTCCATTGTTCTTGGCACTAAATCAAGTGATGCATAGAAGTAGGTAATTACGTGAAGTCATCATCAAGGGGTTTATATTCCTGACAGTTTGTGGTTTTAACTCTCTCCCTTTTTGTTACAAAAAAGGGATGGAGTCAGCTTTGGGAGAGTTGGAAACAAAGAGATTCTGCCAAATTAGAAAAGTGGTAGAAAGGGAAAAACCTTATCCTGAACAGCATTAACTGACATTTTAAGTTCAACTTGCTCTATTTCCTTAAGAAATGAATGGACTATAAAGAGTAAACACTTGTTTTGCAAAGATTTGTCATTTAAATTAACAAGGATTCACCCTACAAAGAAAATTACAAAAGCCAGTGCATTTTGATCACATTTTCTGGAAATAGGGATATTTAGGTTCAGAATTCTTTTACTTTCCCACTTGGCAGAAATTTTCTTAAAATTCTGGAAAAGGAAGAAAAGATATTTAGGTCGGGGGCGGGGGGCGGAAACAAATGACTTTTCTTCAGATATTTATTAGCACCTTTCCTTTTTAAGCCTTCCACCTATAGGAGGGTTCTACAAAATCAATGGTCTGGGGAGGGGGTGATTCACAAGTTTGCATTTGAGGATATGAGACTGTGGTGAATGAGGAAGGGAGTAGGTGGCATAAAATTGAAACTTCATGTGAAAAATTCCAGCGTCTATTGGCTGCAGCGATTTCACTTGTATAATGAGTAGCCCTATTCCAGCTCACCCTGACCACACCCACTTGGAAAGTCCAGGGTGCACTTCGCAGTTTAAATGTCTACACACCAGAACAAAAAGTACAATAGCTGTTGCTCAATTGCTAGTCAAATAACTTAGCACTGGGGAATTCCAGATGTTACTTAGGGAATTTTATACTGGTGCATCTCAATAAAGAACTGAAAGTAAGCACAAGAAGAAGAAAAAAAGCCTTATCTTTGCTCTAGATTTTGCAAAGGGGAAATTTCAACAGAATGCAGTTGTTGCTACACTTCTGCCAAGACACACGGCTTGGGCGATCTTTTTCGTTTATTTGTTTGAGTACTTATGTAGCTAGTTTTTCTAAGTGTGTAATTTGAAGGGATACTGGCTGTGGGTGTGTTTTTGAGGGTTTTTGTTCTTTTTTTTACAGTTTGACTATAATTAAAATTTGATAAAATTTCAAATAGCTTTATTGCCTTACTTATAGAAAGAAAACAGTTGAACTTTTCTTTTTAAAAACAATTGTGCAAGCTTCTAGCATAATAAAAATAGATGGAAACATAAATTAAAAAATGTATTAAAAATAACAATTGTGCACTTGCCAAAAGAGATTAAGAAATTAACTTTTAAAACATATTAAACATTCCCCCAAAATGTTTATTGTTTGGAGGTTGAAAAAAGTGCAGTTCCTTAAATTGTGGGTTTTAACCTATAAAAGTTAACAAGTAAATGGAATAAACTTAGAACTATGTTTTGCTCAAAATTCTTAAATGCCAGCCCTAAACACTGAAAATTATTTTCAAATGTAGACATCCAGTCACTCATTAACTTTTAAAAGGACTCTGTAATTTCTAACAAAATTCACATAAGGCATTTCGGGGGGGGGGCTGGGGGGGAAGGCAGTGATGGGCAGGCAGACAGGTGGTACTTTGGTGTTCTCAATCCCACTTTACATACCAGTAGAGGAAACTCCCAGGCCCCAAAGGCTACAGTGGAATGGTCAAGTCATTTACCACTGAGTCATAGCCAGACCGTCCTTGTCTAGTAATGGAGCCATGCTGGCTTCCTGGTTTGTGCATGTTATCTGTGTGTTCTCTCTCAGAGTCAGAGAGGAACAGTGTCAGTATTTTAGCCAGAACATCAAGGAATGTTAGAAAGGGACAGACTTTACAGATCATAATCAAATGCCCTCATTTCACAAAGAGGAAAAATACTCAGAGAGGTTAAGGAATTTCCCCCAAGGTGACCTAAACTAGTTAGAGCAGAGCTGGGCTGGAACCAAAGTCCCATGATTATCTGTTCCTGGCTCCTTTGCTCTGTTGGTATCAGACACTAAAAATAAGAGTGAAAAGAATTATTTTTTTCCTTAAAGCTGCAATCACCTTGTGAAATGGTACCAGTTGGCCCTTTGACTAAGAAATTAAACCATTTGCATTTCTGCAAGCACTCGTGAGTCCCCCATGATAGCAATAGGGCTCATTGATTCAAAGACCCTGTGCTGGGTTTGGGTGTGGATTGCTTGAATTTGCTTCCCTTGTGTCCTCAGGTGATGGAAACTGCCTCATGCATGCTGCTTCTCAGTACATGTGGGGTGTTCAGGACACAGACTTGGTCCTGAGGAAGGCACTCTTCAGCACGCTCAAGGAAACTGACACGCGCAACTTTGAATTCCGCTGGCAGCTGGAGTCTCTTAAATCTCAGGAATTTGTGGAAACAGGGCTTTGCTATGACACCCGGGTATGTTTTGTTCCCCCATTAAGCACCTATTAACACAGCACCATGGTGGGGGAGAGGGTACCTTAGGCCAGCCGCTGCTCTCAGGAGCATATGATGTACTCAGTCACATGAACTTGGCTAAGCAAAGCATAGTCACTGGAAAACACCAGAAACCTCCTGCGGGATGAACTGGAGGCTTATGTCCCTACTGGGAGGCTTCAGGGCAGCAGATTCCCAGCTGTGTGTATCATTAGTTTAGCTTGGTCATTCTGTTCATGGCCTTCCCTATGACGTGTTGGTTGTTTTTCAGTTTGATTGTCCTTTGCATGCTTTACTGAGCCAGCCAGTTAAATTCAGACCTCACCATTCTCAGTCACAAGTTTGGGATTTTTGTGTACATTTGGATGAGGGGCTTCAATGCTATGCCTCATCAGGGATTTTTTTGAAAGCAGGTGCTGTCCCCATCCTCCCCCACTTTGGCCTTGTAGTGGAAAAAAGTAAAGGAAGAAAGCCAAAAGGGGGGAAAAAGGGTGATCATTTGAATGATGATTTCCAGAAAGGGGAAAAGTAAGCTGAGTTGTATAAATGAATAGCTACAGGGTGAAGTCAGGATGACTTGTTAATGCAGAATACAGTCAACGGTTTTTATTCCTCTTCCCCTCCCCCTTAGAACTGGACTGATGAGTGGGACAACCTTATCAAGATGGCATCCACAGACACCTCAGGAGCCCGAAGCAGCCTTCAGTATCATTCACTGGAAGAAATACACATATTTGTCCTTTGCAACATCCTCAGAAGGCCGATCATTGTCATTTCAGGTGAGATTCCCACGAAGCGCTTGTTTGTATTGAAGTGCTTTTCAGCTGTCATGCTTCAGCTCTTAGGAGAAACCCACGCTGCCAAAGTCACAGGCAACAGTGGCTAAATGAGATTTGATGGAAATCAACTGAGAGCCTTATTTTCATCTTGCTCTTTCCTTCAACAGACAAAATGCTGAGAAGTTTGGAATCGGGTTCTAATTTCGCTCCTTTGAAGGTGGGCGGAATTTACCTGCCTCTCCACTGGCCTGCCCAGGAATGCTACAGATACCCCATCGTTCTCGGCTACGACAGCCAACACTTTGTACCCCTGGTGACCCTGAAGGACAGTGGGCCTGGTAAGAAAACCGAGCATCAATTCACATTCGTCACTGCTGGTAGATAGTAGTACTCCCTGTTCCCACGGAACATCAGGGTTTGCTCTTTTGCTCCTTATTGAAATTGTCTCATTGACGTGTATTATTTGTGTTAAAAAACAGTAATCTGTTATTTGCTTAGTTAGAAACAGTAATGCAATAGCAGTAATCGTGATACCCCCTCCTTTTTGTGTATGGCTTGGGAAGTACTTTCAGCATGTTAGTCGCAAGTAGAAGGTATATGTATACATCTTACTACTACCATTTCTATTAATACATGACAAATTAAGGCACACAGAGCCCTTAATACAGTGCCTGGCATGGAGCAGGTAGATGTCTGTCAGGTTAGCTCTTCCTGTAATAGCTTAATGTGCAATAGGCACTATGTAAGTGTTTTAGGTACATCATTTTATTTTATTTCGTCCTCACAGCACCCCTATGGGCTGCAAGCATTGGTAGCCTTATTTTATGGATAAGGCTCTCAAAACTCAGAGAGGTTAAATAACTTGCCTAATGTCACAGATTTGAAAGTGGCCAAGTCAGCATTCGAACTCAGGTCAGCCTGATTCGGAAGTGTGGGAATTTAACCTATAAGATCCGCTGCCTCCAGGCTGCTTAATATTCTGTGAGCTTCCTGGAAACAATGCATTTTGTATTAGCGTTTTGTGGCGTTTGTTTCCCCATTTGACTTTGTGGCTAGATAACACTTTCCCACTCTAGTTGTATCCTTTCTACATATTCAAATTTTAATCATTATATACCTATGTTAGCCTCACACACAATCTCATGTACTAGAATCATATTTGGCTTACGTGTTATTTTTTTCCCCTCAGAAATCCGAGCTGTCCCGCTTGTGAACAGAGAGCGAGGAAGATTTGAAGACTTAAAAGTTCACTTTTTGACAGATCCTGAAAATGAGATGAAGGAGAAGCTTTTGAAAGAATACTTGATGGTGATAGAAATCCCAGTCCAAGGCTGGGACCATGGCACCACCCATTTGATCAATGCTGCAAAGTAAGCACTTCAATGTTAGCTCTAGCCTTGGCCTTTAATTCAGCTGTTTTTAATTCAGCCTTGTACATAAGCTGTTGCCACCCCAAAGCTCAACAGTAAAGTAATTTAAAGCCAGTTTCCTCCAACGTGAAACAAATGCAGAGGTTTATGTGTGAGTCAAAGAGGATCACAAACTTTGGTTTCACATGGGAGCAAGTAGTTTATCCATAATGATTTTCTTGCATATCTGGATGCTGAGAATCAGAATTGTGGCTTTTAAAAGTGCCTTTACATTAAGGATAGTTGTTTTTCTTAATGGCTCTTAAGTGCTAGACTAGCAAGTGAAAATTCTTAGAAACAAGCCTTTTTCCCCTGGCTCCTTGATAAGGACAGACACCCCAGACACAGACTGGGTTGCAGAATGTGTTTATATGGTAGCCACGTGATTGCACCACAAAGAAAGGGGAGGAGACGCCCAGAGTGAACAGTGCACAGGTATCCAGACTTTAAACACTGGCTTTATGTTAAAGAGACGCCTGTTTCTTAGAACTTGAAATGCTCAAGAGCTGAGCACGAAGGCGTAAGAGAATCCGTTTCCCCAAGTGGAGAGTAACAACTTACAGAGTCAGAAATAAATAACGCCTGAGGGTGCGTCTGCCTCTTAGTTACTGCTCAGGACAGTTAACTCTTAATACAGACCAGGCACCAGCTTTAAATTAATAACAGCAAAATACAGAACACCAAGTTCCAAAGTAGTTTGTACCATAGAGTAGACTAGTCCCAAGAGAACTACAAATTTGATCTCTGACAAGTTAGAAAAAGTGACTTTTTAAAAGTAGAATAGAGTCATTAAGTGTAGAGGCAGCCCCAGAGTAGCCCTGTCTTTAGAATTATCTGCCACTTTGGGTGGACCAAGATTGATTGGAAGAGACTGTGACTCTTGAAATCATGAAGTACTGGACCGTGTTTTGTTGGAGGTGCAAACTCTTCATGATAGGCCTGCATTTCGATGACTGGTTGTAAAGGTGCTGCCTGACTCCAGATTCTGCAAGTTTGCTCTTTGAGCTAACGATGTAGAATTAATTGTGTGTGTGTGAGAGAGCTCATATTTTTTCTTTTGTTCTTCAGGTTGGATGAAGCTAACTTACCAAAAGAAATAAACCTGGTAGATGATTACTTTGAACTTGTCCAGCATGAGTACAAGAAGTGGCAGGAGACCAAGGAGCAGGGCCGGAGAGAGCAGCACGCCCAGAGTCCTTTGGAGCCCTCCGTTCCCCAGCTTTCTCTCATGGACGTCAAGTGTGAAACACCCAACTGCCCTTTCTTCATGTCTGTGAATACCCAGCCTTTGTGCCATGAATGCGCAGAGAGGCGGCAAAAGAACCAGAACAAATCCTCAAAGCCCGCCTCCAAGCCGGGCCCTGACGTGATGCTTGGGGCCTCCAGGGGCGAGGCCTATGAGCCCATGGCCTGGAGCCCCGAGGAGGCCGCTGGGGGGCCTCATTCGGCCCCGCCAACAGCACCCAGCCTTTTCCTGTTCAGCGAGACCACCGCTATGAAGTGCAGGAGCCCTGGCTGCCCGTTCACACTGAACGTGCACCACAACGGATTCTGTGAGCGTTGCCACAATGTCCGGCAACTTCATACGGGCCATGTCTCGGACCACGGGAGGCATTTAGATCCTAGTAAGTGCCGAGCCTGCCTCCAGGATGTCACCAGGACATTTAATGGGATCTGCAGTACTTGCTTCAAAAGGACTACGACGGAGCCCTCCTCGAACCTCAGCTCCAGCATCCCTCCTTCCTGTCACCAGAGGTCCAAGTCGGACCCGTCGCAGCTCATGCAGAGTCCCTCTCCGCATTCTTGCCACCGAGCTGGGAACGAGGTCCCCTCGGGCTGCCTCTCTCAGGCCGCACGGACTCCAGGGGACAGGACGGGGACAAGCAAGTGCAGAAAAGCTGGCTGCATATATTTTGGGACTCCCGAAAACCAAGGCTTTTGCACACTGTGTTTCTTCGAGTACAGAGAAAATAAACGTGAGTGAAATGATAGGTTTTCTAGCCCATTTCTAAACCCCTGTCTAGATGGGATTTTTTTCTTCCTGAACTTCCAGAAAGGAGGCCCTCTGGTCAGTGGGGTAAAATACCACACATAGGATATTACCACACAGTGGCTCTGCCAGCCAAACATGGAAGCAAAAGGCACAGAATACTATGTTCCAAAACCCAAAAGTGTCCTATAGGTAGGATTCTTAGAATTTGTTTCCATAGGTCAGTCAGTGTTGCCTTTTATAGAGTTTAAACTAGACTTCTTTTGAAACTTGAGAAAACTCAAAATCTGAAGAGCAGCAGCTGGAGAGGGGAAGTCTCCACTGACATTGTAAAAAACATTTGTGGTTTTAGAAATCTCTAACTTGAAAGATGGACAGGCAGTTAATGTGTCTCTGTTCTTCCCTGTGACTAACCATTGCGGCATGTTCAAAAGTGAGAGATTTATAAAGTTAAAGATGTTACACACACACACACACACACACACACACACACACACACACACACCCTCCCCCAGGGGTGCCAAAAAAATGCACACAGGCGGACACTTCGGTCAGTGTTGCTCAAGCAGTAGTTCGCCATAATCAGAAGTGTGTGGACGCTGATGGTAACCACTTTGAGCACCTCTTGTAATTGCAGAAGTCAAATGTGACTTGTATTCATCTTTTGTTATCGGTATATATTAAGTATTATAATTTTATACAGCTTTCCTCTCTTAAAATGTGTATACATTTTTTTGGCACCCTCTGTGTGTGTGTATGTGTGTGTGTATGGAGAGAGACAGAGGGAGGAGAGAGAGAGAGAGAGGGAGAGAGGGAGAGAGAGAGGTTGAGAGAGAGAGGGAGAGGGAGAGGGAGAGAGAGAGAGGCTGGCCTAATCTGTACTTGGAACCTGTTTATTTCTCTCATGTCATTGTCTCTCTCCGCTTGGTGACCCATATGTGGTACTGATTAGCATCATCTCTCTTCTAGATTTTGTCGCTGCCTCAGGGAAAGCCAGTCCCACAGCCTCCAGGTTCCAGAATGCAGTCCCCTGCCTAGGGAGGGAGTGTGGCACCCTGGGAAGCACCGTGTTTGAAGGATACTGTCAGAAATGTTTCATTGAAGCTCAAAATCAGAGGTTTCACGAAGCAAAAAGGACTGAGGAGCAACTGGTAAGACATTTCCCGTGTCCTGTGAGGCAGACCTCCTTGCTGGAGCAGTTTCTTCCCACCAACTGGGATAAGCAGCCTTTCTTCCTGGCTGAGTTCCAGGGAGGAACCTGGGGAAAAAGTCACTGTGGCATTGGGTTAGGAAGTTCAGCAACTACTAATGATTTAAATGGCCTAAGTATACTTTAGAATTCATTTAAAAAGCAAATAAAATTAGCCGTGGAGTAAAACTGTTTAAGAAGCCTCCAAAGCCGGATGGTGATCAGAGATTTCTTGGATTTGTAGCAGCAGCTCAGACACCTAAGTGGCCAACAGCCTTTCTTAATAATCCTTTACCAAGAGGAGACAGGAGGACAGCACAGAGCATCCAGGTGCCTCCACCTAATGCCATATAAACAAGCAAACTCTGATTGATGGATGCCTCTCCTGATGTTTACAGAATGGTAGGGAATCTGTCTAAATAATTAAGGGCAGCTCATTAATCCAAACGGAAGTGAGGTGTGCCAACATTGTCAGGCTTCCGTGCTAGGATTGGGGTTCTATCGGCCTCCTTGAGTCTGCTTTTGTGGGGTTGGGAGGGAAGTCCTTGAAGAACTCCTGGTCACAGATTGCTGTTCTCTTGGTCAGGCCGATGCTCTTCACCCCACAGAGCTCTTTGTAGCATCCACACCGTCCTATGAGATTGCACAGTGACATGTGAGCCACAGTTCTCTCTGTTCTTTCCCCCTCAGAGAATGAGCCAGCGCAGAGACGTGCCTCGAACCACACAGAGCGCCTCCAGGCCCAAGTGTGCCCGGGCCTCCTGCAAGAACATTCTGGCCTGCCGCAGTGAGGAGCTCTGCATGGAGTGCCAGCACCTGGGCCAGCGCGCAGGCGCCGGGGCCCACCGGGGCGAGCCGGGTCCCGAAGAGCTCCCCAAGCAGCGCTGCCGGGCCCCTGCCTGCGATCACTTTGGCAACGCCAAGTGCAACGGCTACTGCAATGAGTGCTTTCAGTTCAAGCAGATGTATGGCTAACCGGAGACAGGTGAGCCTGCCCCGGCCGTTAGCCAACATGGTGCTATACGCAAAACGTTCTGATGCCACTGGAGGGTCAGTCCCAGCAACAGTAGGCTGGAGGGTGTCTTTGAGCAGGAGAGGAAAGATAAGCTCTGGGTCACGGCCTTGAACTTGGTAACCAGGGGACATTCCCAGGTGGCCTTCGAGCAGCCTCGTGACTGGCAGCAGATGGTGTCAGACTCAGCCCTGCCCTGGCTGCTCCTCCAAGTGGAAGGCCAGGAACTGGATGGACTTGGACTGCGTGCCAGGACTGCGTCGTCATCTTCTGAGAAGAGGGAAAAGACACATGGAGCCTCTCCACCTGCCCCCCACTGGCATTGCTCAGAGACAGAAAACTGAAATCTCGTGGCCCACAGGCCCTCGCGAGAAACTCAGGAGGCTCAGGGAAAACAGACATTTTCAGTGTCAGTAGTTAGTGGTTTTTCCCTATCTGACTTGTTCCTTTTCCATGGACTGTGATTCTGAGGCTGCTGAGACAGTAAGTTCATAACAAACCAGCTGCTCTTTAAAATATGCACCTTGTAAAAATTTTAGTGGGAAGATGGGTAACTCTTTTGGTTATCACCGTCTTCACTTCTAAAGAGGTTAGCTTCAACTGAGGTGTGCATATAAATGTGTACATATATAATGTACCCTTATGTATAAGGGATTTTTTTTTTTAATGTTGAAATGCTGCCCTAGATGTATAAGAAGACAAATATCAATAGCCTGTTTTCTGGTTGTTGTTAGGGCACCATGGGTATACACGGCTTTCACGAAGTCAGCCTGCTGCTTTGTTAATGGCCTGTGTGTATTCACTTTATTTATTTTATTACAAACTTAAAGTTTATTTAAATGAAGTTTTTTTTTTTTTTTTTCTGCTTTGTGAAGAACACTGTAGTGTCTTCTTGAGATACTGTTTTTGCTTTGGGTCATGTTGTGGAGCCAGGCAAGTTTCTGACTGCAGCGGGGAGTCGGCTTCTCTGATGCACTTTTGTTGCCTTTCCTAGAAGAGAAGGAATTGCGTCAGTAGTAAGTGTGTTAAAATCTCATGGCTGCTTCTTAATGAAACTTTGGCCAAAGCTCCTCCCCAGGCACAATATGTAATTGCCTCTGAGTATCCTACCTCCTTAGAGCTGAGATTGGCAAGCAGCAGGAGTGAGATTGGAGAAGGTAAAGATGGGACCTTTGATGATGGTTTTATTTGCTGTGTTCATGCTGTGTCCCTGGGTGATGGGCAGTGACCTCGTGTCCAGTGCAACCTTAGCATTGGGACAGCAAAACCCTATGACCATAAGGATGAGGAAATTTCTTTCTATCCTTGGCCTGCAGTTTCTTTTTGTGTTACTGTCATACTTGTTCTGGGAAGAAGAAAAAAGAAAAAAAAAATGGAAGGGAAACACCAGAGGAAAAGGCAGCCATTTTTTTCTTTTTTGGTCTGGACCTAAGACCAGAACGTATTGGCAACCTGTAATTCTCCATGGCCTTTACTTGACATGGTTTCTACTTCGGGTGTTTTCTTTTCCTTGACATAAATCTTTATAATTTTTTTCTAAAGATTGTAAACAGACTTCAGTGTTTTTATCTTATTCTTTTAAAGTTGGTATTGTAATAGTTTGTGTGTATCAATATTCTCATTTTTAATGTGAAAAAATGGAATTATTTATACTTATTATAGAAAACATTTGAAATTTGCACATTTAGTTGTCCCTAGTAGACGTCTGTTTACTCTATAGGATTTCTTCAAGTTTTCCTAAATAATTGTAACTTTTCACAAAAACCAATATTAAAAAATAAATTATTTAAGAACAAATTTTGACATTGTCTATTTACTAATGATGAAAGGAAAAGGCCCAAACACTAAGACCGCGCTTCCCAAACAACTTCATTTCAAGGTACACCTGGGCAGGCAGGGGACACGTCTGTTACCCATGGGCAGTAAGAGGACTTTGTAAAAATAATAACGGCATAAGGGTAAGACGTCTGGCTTAACAGCGAGGACACGGAGGCCCGCGTAGGAGTGGGAGAGGCCTGCCCATGCCTGATCTCATAAGATGCTAGGGCCTGATGCTCCTCCAAAGGTTTCTGCCCTAACCCTTAATAAAGTACAGAAAGAGGAAACGATAGGGAGGAGCAGAGAGAAAGGAAAGAAAGAGAAATCGGAGGGAGGAAGGAAGACTGGTGTGAGATTTCCTGGGTCAGTCCTTAGAAGAGGTGACCTGTGTCCTGGGAAATTGTAAAATGACTCATTCTTGCACCCAATACAGATGTATCCACAGGGGATTGATTCAGGAGGTCTGTAAAGTTTCTGGAATCTTTTTTTTTTTTCTTTAATTTCCCCAGGAGATTTTGATCATCAGCCATATTTTAAAAAATTATTTATAATTTTTTTTCAACTTGTGGGAAATTTTAAAATACAAGAAAGTAGAGTGTAATGAACCTCCATATATCCATCATTTAGTTTCAACAATTACCAACATTTTGCCAAATTTATTTCATCTCTCATCTCTTCTTATTTTTTCTGGATTATTCCAAAGCAAATCCCAGATACTGTGTCCTCAGACCCACAAATACATCAGTGTGCATGTCTAATTGAAGAATATTCTTTTTATATAAGTACCATTGTTACTAGCTAGTACCTAGCTAAATTATTTTTAATATCATTCAATACTAAGTATATATTCTAATCTCTCAGATTATCCACTACACAAGAGTCCTATTGCTTTTGATTGCTACCATTTCTTAAGGCTCTTTTATTCTGTAACATGCCCTTTTAATTTTTCACGTTATTAACTTGTTAGGGCAACCAGGTCGTTTGTTCTGTAGAATAGCTCCCATTCTGGATTTGGCTGATTGCTTTCTTATGGTGTCATTGACCTTGTTTTTCTACACTTCTTACTAGATGATGGTTCAATTAGGGAAGAATTATTTCCAGGTGTCCCATTGCATCCCATCCTGTATGAGCTATATGAATGCTTACTCTGAAGCATCACAAAGCCTCAAATTGACCTCTTTTCCCCCATTCTTCCTTTCATCTTTAACTCAGCATTAAACCTGACAATTCTTCAATCAGCATGATGGACATAAGCATTTGACCATAAGTCATCAGGATTTCTAAAATAGGAAGTGACTTATAATTAGCAAATTATCTCTGACTCAGGAGAATGACTCCTATGCAGGGAACTAGGGCAGGGTTGGAGCCAATTAGGGCAGAGCTCCAATCTGAAGTCCTGAATGGACTTCTGGGCCAATCAGTGGCTTTCTTAAGAGTCTCAAAGAAATTGATGACTTTCCAAAAAGTCAAAGAATCTAGGCATAAAAGGACAGAAAAATAAGACTTGGTAAAAACTGGCTTTGCTTCGACTTGTCTAGATCTTGACTTCCAATGCTGCAGAATGTCACCTTCATACTACACCAAGGCGGAAGCTCAGTATCATCCAAAACTGAACTCATGTTACCCCAGCCCTCCTCTTTCCACGCTCAGGAAAGGGTATTCTCATCTTCGTAACCACCTCTAGATTTTTTCCCCTTCATTCCACACCCAAACTTTTCCATGAAGTGTATTGCCAAAAATGTCTCTCAAATCCATTTCTTCCCCTCTATGTTTCTGCTCTAGCTTGGCCCCTCGTCTCTTCTTTCTAGCCCACTGTTTCGCTGTACTTATACTAGTTACCTGTGCCTGTAAATCATAGACATGGTGATATCCTTCTTTAATTAAAACTCCCTGATGGCTTTCTACTGCTCCCAAAGCTGGGTACATGCAGCCAGGAGATGCAGGAAGAAAGTAGGAAACCTCTGAGTTCATTTAGCTAATATTTGATATAGGCATTATTGCTTACGGTGTTCTCCCTTTGTCAGCATCAGAGGGTCATGGTCTCCTGAGCAATCCTGAAGTAACTGAGTTGCTCAGATCAGAGGGAATAGCAATAGCAGTGACACCTTCATTCATTCACTTCCTCCATATTGACACTAATTACATTTGAGTTATCCCTTATTATGTGATTTCATTGCCAAAACCAATGTAGCTGTGCTACCTGTAAACTCTCATGTCTGCATACTTGAACTCGGAAACCAAACTTTCTAATGTTTAAAAATTATCAAGAAAAAGAGTTTCAGGGGGTTTTCAACCCATTTATTGGAAACATCAACATATCTACACCTTCCCAACTAATGAACATCAAAGAAGATTGGAATTTACTAGCTGAGTTTCAACAAAAACCTTGGAATAGTTGATAGCTGGAAATGAAATGTAATTAATCATAATTAAGGAAGCACAATGATTTTTTTTCTATCCATCTATTGTTTTTCTATCTTCTGTATGTGTCTCTCAGCTCTGACAGTTGACAAGGATCACAATAAAATGAACTTAGAATCAGACTTTGAAATGGTTTATCACAAAGTGATAGATGATGTTTTTTTTAAAATAATGAAGCACATTTACTAATTTTATTATTTCTTATTGAGAGCAAAACGTATTTTTAACATTAATAAAAATAATTATTTTAAAATATTGCTTAACTCATTTTTATCTCTGTGTTTTAAAATTCCTTGGGGCCGGCCGAGTGGCACGATGGTTAAGAACCGGCTTGGGACGTCAGAGGGCCTGGGTTCGGATCCCACATGTGAGGGCCAGTGACACTGCCCTCTACAGCTAAGATGCTGAACAACAGCCTAACCTGGAGCTGGGTTGCCGTGAGTCGCCAGCGACAGCATAGGCTGCAGCCCCTGTGGCAGTGGATTGCCACGGGCTACCGTATGTAGCCAGCAGCCAGCATGAGCGGCCAGCAGCTGCAGTGAGCGGCCATCCATAAGCCGGCGATTGATGTGCCTCGCCTGGGAAGAGCGCAATGATGATGCCAACTTGGGCCAGTGAAGCAACGTCCTCCACAACTAGACTGAAGAACAAAAGGACAGCAACTTGTCTGTTCCCCTTCCCCCAATTCCCCAGCACTGTTCCCATCCCCCAATTCCCCAATAAAAATCTTAAAAAAAAAAATTCCTATACTTTGTGATTTCTAATATTTTATATAATATGATTATATTTTAGTTAATTTAAAATAATACATATATTGTGAATACATAGTATGAGGTCAAAAGCCTTTGAAGCTCAATTTCTAACATGTTATGCAATGCTTTTTACAATTGAACCAACGTAAGTCTTCATTCTTGTCTCCTGTCGCTATGTTATATCTATCTCATGGCCTCCTGGACTCTCTTCTATACTCTTCTGCGTTCTCTAGACTTGGACACCGTTTTGGTCTCAGGACCCCTTTACATTCTTAAAAATTTCAAAGGACCCCAGAAAGCTTTTGTTTGTGCTATATCTATTAAAAAGTAAAACAAATTCAACGCACAGAACACACAAGCAAACATTCCATTAGCTTCCAGAGTGATGACATCACCCCACGTAATGGAGCCTCTGGAAAACTCCGTTGTATATTCCTGAGAGACAGAGCAAGAAAGGCAAATAACACCCTTAGTGTTGTTATGAACATATTGTTTGACCTTATGGTGTCCCTGACAGGGTCTCAAGGACCCCCAAATGTCTCCAGACCACACTTTCAGAACCTCTGCTTTGGAGCAATGGCTCTAATCCGGGGTTGCCATCACCACACCAGCAACACCGGCAGAATGTTTTTGGAACACGCGTGTCTATGCCCTGACTCTGGTGAGGAGGTCAGTGCAGATTGCGGATTGGAGGCCTGTGTAGATTCCACCACACCAGGCGCTGGCTGAGAAGATCTCTAAACAATGGGTTCTGTGCTCGTGTGATGACCCTGTGTCCCTACCAGTAAAAATATTTAGAGCATGTACTCCCAATATGTGTGTGCTTATTTCTTTATAAATTATATACATATATTACCAGATCAATATGTATGCTGTGCTTTGCAAACGTAAAAAATTAAGACATTAAAACCAAATAAAAGAATTGCTGCCATTTTCCTTCCATGCCATGGTGAGCCCCCTGGCACACTTGGGAGACAGCTGCTGGAGAACACTGCAAATTTCTCTCCCTCTTTGCCTATTTTTGGCAAGTCTCCTGGATGCCCCTTCTGCCTTCCACTCCCCTCTCTTTTCTCCCTTCACCAGAACCTGGCAGAATTCCTGCCTTCTGTTCTGCATTCTCCCAGATAGCATGAAAAGAACTTGACATTTGGTAAAAGAAAGTATAGGTTCAAACTCTGGCCCCATTGCCTGTTATTCAGACTTGAGCAAGTTGCCTCATGTCTCTGAGTCTCAGGTTCCTCATCTGTAAAATGGTCATTAAATGTTTTTAAAAATATATTAGGGAACTTCTCCCCTTCCTCCTACCAGAAAATGTTCTTTTCTATTAATAACCAAGTTAATGGCTTTCAACACTGGGGACATAGTAGAATCACCTAGATGGCTTCTAAATCCAGCCAGTGACCAGAGTTCTACCTTTAATTGGCCTGGGATGGCGCCTCTGGTATTGATTTTTTTTTTTTAAGTTTAGGTGACTCTAATATGCAGCCAGCGTTTGGAATCACTTGTAGCCAAAAGAATACATACTATTTTCACAGAGGCGATGAAGAGAAAGGGAACACTAAAGCACTTAGGGCATTTGAAGAGGGCAGGTACCTTCTTTCAGTTTGGTGCACTTCTGCAAGTGACTAGTTTCTCATCTGCACCCCTGCTAGGTGACATTTATTATCATTGTGAGTCTTTTTTGGCATAAAAGCTTCATCTTCCAGAGGCAACATATTGACCAAGATAAAAAATACACTACTGTATCGATAACTCACGTGAGAACAACTTACTATCAGAGAGGTACAAACACTTGCACCCTCTGGTC